GAGATCTAGAGGGATTTACTAAAGCTGTATTTGATGTAAGCACCATGCTGTTGCTTAGACCTTGAAAGCTTGACATAGAAAATCAATTTTAGTGTGTATATATGGCTGAAATGAAATGCAAGGGATTACTGCGGCTGCTTTTTGTCTGGGTCCGCAGTGTTTTGGTGACTCCCCATTATCACAGCTTCATTTCGGGTGTTCTGACTTGATTGGAAGAGTCTTTTACTTTGAATTCTTTTTGTGCTTACTATCGTCTTCAAGTATTCCCACCACACATCGATGTAGCATGGATCTAACAGCTCACTGGGCTTCCACATGTCTTAAATATGTAAAGTGACCAAAAAAATGTAAACATTTGTTCATTGTAACACAATCCAGTGCAGTAGTCCTGTAATAAATACTACCTCTGTGACACGGTCAGCAACAGGTGTCTGTTCCGTGTTACGGTAATGTTTAGGGCTGCAGTTTGTGGTGTTTATCTCCAAAGATATGGACATTATATGAAAACAGCTCTCTGTAAAATACAGTTTTACTCCACCACAACACACAGCCTCAGTGTACAACACAATCAGTCAGTAAACAAACAGCTAACAGTCTAAAAACTTTAAACAGAGCAGTATTTATTGCAGGGCTAACTTTGTACAGGTGTTTGTATTTTTCTGTGTATTTAAATTGTTAATACTTCTCTTCAGAGATACTGATGTATGTTATTTGCTTTACACATTAATTTAAATATGATTTGAAACTGTATATATTTTTATTTCAAAATAAGATTTCCTCATCATTTGAGCTGTTTGCTTTTAACTACTATAAGGATGTTTCCTATAAGTATTTGAGGATTTTTAAGTCAAACTTGTGTCGCTGTGAGCATTTTTGGGATATGTGCAGTGAAACTGGCAGAAACGGGCTGGCAGCATGAGGCTCACTGTGACTAACGATCACTAATATACCACCTCCTCATGAACAGGAAATTAAAGCCAGGCATTAGGATTGTTGCTGATCATATCCATGCTGAGTCCACAGGATTTATTGCTGACCATCAGTCTTGGTCACTGACTGTCCGTATCTTAGATGACTACTTACTTCAGAATTTATTTGCTCACATGTCTGAAAAAAATGGATATATAATACAACATGAATTGTTTTTTACATTTAATGTAATTTAAATAAACATGAAATTGTAACGTGAGTGTTATGTAAAGTTCATGCTTTGCAGTTCTACTGAGGTGACTGAAAAAAGGCCTTCATGATACATTTTTAAAAATGCAGCATTAACATAAAAGTAACCATCCTCACACCCAGCAGTGCTCAGCAGTGTCTGCGGTGGACGTCAGGGGGACCGGTGGAGACGAGGATGGCTCACCTGACCTTCCAGCTCAGTGAGGTCATCTGACAGATCTGCGACCTTTACTGGTGTGAGTGGCTTCTCACGCTCTGCTGGCCAGCCAATAGCTCACTCACACGACCTCTGACCTCCCCACTTCTCAAGACTTTAGAGGAATTGATAGTACAGACGTTTAGGGCTGAATGTGTTGCAAGTGTGTTAGGAAAATGTCTTCATTACTTATTCATGATTGGCATATTTGGGTCTGATGACTCATTTTGGAGATTGTATAGATCCTTCATACAATTTGGTGCAAATGTGTGTTCCTAAGTTAAGCCAAAGCTTCAGCGGTGTGAGTAAGTCAAATCAAATAGACATTTTCCAAAGTTATGGTCTTTTCAGTATGAAACTCCCTGTGATTTCCAGGGGCAGAACTAGAGGGGTAGCATTTGAAATGCCTGGTCACTCCAGTTTGGTGTCAAATGCTGTAAATTAAACACATTCAACACATTAAAAATGTTATGGAAATTAAACATTCATTGATTTCTAATGCCACCTTTAAATATTTCAATTCAGTGCTTCACTAATGTGACACAATGATGTAATGCTTTTTCAAGCAAATGTTGATATACAGTCTTCACTTTACCACATTTTGTTACGTTACAGCCTTTTTCCAAAATGGATTAAATCATTTTCCCCCCTAATTCTACTAATAAAATACCCCATAATAACAACGTGAAAAAGGTTTTGAAATTTTTGCAAAAAAACAAAAATATAACATGTACATAAGTATTCACAGCCTTTGCTCAATACTTTGTTGAAGCACCTTTGGCAGCAATTACAGCCTCAAGTCTTTTTGAGTACGAAGCTACAAGCTTGGCACACCTATTTGTGGGCAGTTTCTCCAATTCTTCTGTGCAGGACCTCTCAAGCTCCATCAGGTTGGATGGGGAGCGTCAGTGCACAGACATTTTCAGATCTCTCCAGGGATGTTCAATCAGGTTCAAGTCTGGGCTCTGGCTGGGCCACTCAAGGACATTCACAGAATTGTCCCGAAGCCCCTCCTTTGTTATCTTGGCTGTGTGCTTAGGGACGTTGTGCTGTTGGAAGATGAAGCTTCGCCCCACTCTAAGGTCCAGAGCCCTCTGGAGCAGGTTTTCATCAAGGATGTCTCTTTACATTGCTGCATTCACCTTTCCCCTCGATCCCGACTAGTCTCCCAGTTCCTGCCGCTAAACTTCTTCCATTTACAGATGATGGAGGCCACTGTGCTCATTGGGACCTTCAAAGCTGCAGAAATGTTTCTGTACCCTTCCCCAGATCTGTGCC